TACCCCGAGCCGGCCAAGAGATGTTCTGCTGCGGATCCACTGCCTTAATCTACAAGTAGGGGAGCGTCTGGAGTTTCTCAGCAGCAAACCAGTCTGTCCTCACTGTGGGAGTTTTGAGACACTGGAACACTGTCTTTTGGAGTGCCCGAAAACCCAAGGGGTGACTTCAGCGGTTAAAAAGGCGCTACGGATGATCAATCCAGGCAGGAAATGTGACTCGCTCGGTGATTGGCTGTTTGGGAAAGCCGAGTCCCAGTCAGCATTTCCGGAGGCTACACTGGTCGCGATTGCCCTCCATCAGCTATGGGCGGAAAGGTGCGAAAGGGCCTTTCGAGGCTGTAAATTCCGCACGCGAAGGGTATTGCGGAGAATTGAGTCGGCCCTCCGCATGCAAGTGAACGTTTACCTGCGTGCTTCTGCGACAAGGATGCAGCAGCGTGGGAAGGAACAGCAAGACAGGTGGCGGAAAATGACAGTGCAAGAGCGTGATCTTCTGAACCGTATCAGAGTGGTGGATGGCAAAGGTTGGAAGTGGTCCAACAGCTTCGCAGCAGTCTGGGGCAAACCTCGCAGGCCCCGGATCCATGCTTGAGGATCAAATATTCTGAGGCGGGCTCCCCTGTCTCTCATGCACAGTTACGACTGTTTATGCGTTGTACACTTGTGTTCTGGTGTATAATTCATATAAGCAAAAAAAAAAAACACAAAAAAAAAACAAAAAAACCAACGTCGCTACGCTAACGTCGCCCTCCCCCCACCATTTCATACCGGCCATTCAACGTTGCGATGCGCCCTGGCCGCCAGATCCCACTCGATCTCTTCAATAAAGGCTCTCCACACTGCGGCACGACAGGGTCGAGATCGCGCTTCTAGCAAAATTCAACCAAGTAGGTCGCGCCTCTCGCGGTGATGCCACGCGTCCCTTTGGATCAGGAGAAGCGCCTAGCTTGGCAGATGTCGCGTCGGTGGCAGCAGCGACTGCAGTTGCTGGCGCTACGGGAAAGCGGTCGCGAGCCTGTGTAGGTCTGGTAGGAATATCCATCATTTCCGTTTCGCAACCTCTTACTCGCCTATCAATCGCCCATACATCTCGCACGATTTCGCGCAATTTCTCCGCCGTCCCGTACCGCTCTCCACTGCGTATCATCCCTGCCAGCCGCATCTTCCAGTCGAGTCCTAGCGTTTGCCGCTTCCGCGCAGCTGCAGATTCAGAAAGGGGGAAGGTTGGGAGAGGGGAAGGGGAGCGAAGTCGTGTGCGCGTCAAGTAGGGAAGCGGTTAAGGGGAGGGAAAGGGGAAGGGGCAGCGCAACCCACGGGGCGCAAAGCGCAGAAGCCGCGCGAGCCAAGGCAGGAGGGGCGCATCACGTTGCCCGGGCGGAGCAACGCTGAAAGGAGGAGGGGGCGGAGAGAGCGGCGGAGAGTGGCGGTTGCGCACGGCAGCAGCGGGGGTGTGGCGGGGGAAACGGCGCAACGCGGGTCCCGCGCGGTTGCGCAAGCTGGGCGGCGCGTCTATTCGCGCGGACCTGCGTAGGCGTGTTCCCCGTGGGAGGTGCGGCCGCGGCGGCGGCGGCGGAGGAGGAGGAGTGCGGCGATGCGGCAAGTGGACGACCCCGCGGCGTCCGGCCTGCCGCCATGGCTGGGATCGCTGCTCGCGCTGCTCGTCGTCACGCACCTATTCGCCCTCGTACGCCCTCTGCCATTCCTCCTCGCGCCCGCACGTCCTCACATGCTGTCCCCTCCGCATCCCTCCTTTCTTCTCCCTCCCCCCCCCCCCCCCCACCCCCCCCCCCCTCTTTCCCCTCTCCCCTTTTTTCCCCTCCCCCTTCCCCGCCTTAATCCGTCCCTGTATTCGTTAGGGTGGGGGTAGAACACTATAGGTGAGAGTGGCGACGCATGGGGTTGCGGGATTGGAGTGGGGGGAATTGGAGGGGAGTTGATGGGGGAATGGTTCAGGCCGTGTAGTGGAGTGGATGGGAACAGGCGGACAAAGCATGGGGGCAGATCGGAGGACGGTATGGCTCTCTCTCTCTCTCTCTCTCTCTCTCTCTCTCTCTCTCTCTCTCTCTCTCTCACACACACACACACACACACACACACCCCCGATCTCTCTCCTCTTTCGCCCCTGATTTTCTTCTCTCATATCAACCGCCGTCACCCTTTTCCTCCCACTCTTTCCCCTCCTTTCTCTCCATCTTTCCTCCCCATTCTCCGTCCGTCCTGTCCCATCTTCCCCTGAATATGTCATTGATATGTCCTAACGAGTCCTGGGCTGCGCTTTGTGATTGCATGGTGTGTGATAGTCCGTGAGGGTGTGTGCTGTGACAGTGTGTGCTGTGACAGTGTGTTCTGTGACAGTGTGTGCTGTGACAGTGTGTGCTGTGACAGTGTGTGCTGTGATAGTGTGTGCTGTGATAGTGTGTGCTGTGACATTGTGTGCTGTGTCTGTGCTATATGATTGTGCGTCCTGTGATAGTATGTGCCGCGATAGTGTTAAATTGTGGATGCTGTAACAGTGTGCGCTGTTACCGCGTGTGAGGTTATTTAGGAACTGCACGTATGCAGGAGGTGAAGAGATGCAGTGTGGTTGAAGGGAGGGGAGAGAAGGGATATGACAGGAAGGAGAAGGAAGGTGGAGGTGTGTGAGTAAAAGGATGAATAGGTCAAGCTAGCCGAGGCTGCTGCAGCAGCAGCAGCAGCAACAGAACCTGCATCAGCAGCAGTACGAGCAGCGTCAGCAGGTTTTCATTCGTGGACCCATGCTCTGTGGGTTCCTTTGTATGATACCCTTGCTTCTATATTTCCACATGTCCTTGTCATTCGTTCACATGTACCACCGTTTATCACCAGTCTCCGCCCCCCTTCTCTCCTCCCCCTCCACTTTTCTGCTCCGTTGTGCTGTCTTTCCTTCCCAAACCCCCCGGCATGCCTCATTGGACTCCTGGCAGGTGTATTGGCTGAGTCGGCTGACACTGGAGCGACCAGGTGTGCGCAGAAAGACAGCCTAGGACTCTGACTTCTCCCCCGTGCTCCTAGTTTTACGGTGTAAAGTTTGCGAGGTATCTTAGGTGATAAAGCATGCCAGCGTAGCTGGTAATGGCTTATGGCTGGAGAGGGCTGGGGTAACTGCCGCTCGAGAGCAGGAGGGTTGGTAAGGGGGGTGGGGCGTGAAGCGACGGAAGTAAGAACGTGAGTAGGCAGGCACCCTTGCTTTGCAACAGCTTGGTTGTGGGAGATGGCCATTGATGAGTTGGGAGTATGACGGCTAGCCAATCAGCTTAGAGGGCTGCCGTGCTGCTGTGCGACTGGCTGGCAGCTGGCAATGCTGCCGAATTGTTGTGGATCTTAGACGCATGTGGTTGTTGGAAGTGAACAGATTGACGTCTGTGCAAGCTAGACTGTACAGTATCTCCTGCGTATTTAGTTTCAGTCAGATCCTACCTATGTGTTATGAGTTGTAAAGGAGAGTGCGCAGGTTAACGAATAACGAGAATGTGATTGAACAGACTGATCATACAATGAAGGCACACGCTAATATAGTGACTAGTCTAGTTAGGAGGGGACTTCGGGTGAGTGAGGTCGGGTGCAGGTTTGGCGAAAGGAAATGCCGAAGGCGACGCGAGGAGGCTCGGCACGGCAGTGTTGATGTTAGCCAAACGTGCAGAGTCCGAAAATTGGGGCTGTACGCGAAGCAGTCAACCCCGATAAGGAATTTCAGGAAAAATCCTTACACTAAGCGTTACCATTTTGGGCTGCAGAATTTGATTTGGCGAATAGTACCGTACCTGACATCTATTGCTGATTTTTTTTAAATCCATCCTATCTTAATTGAGATTTATGTATACCATTGACTTTTTAATGTGGAAATTTGTTTTCAGGAAAGATGTAAAATTTCTCCTCTGGAGAGATTTCTACAGTGAATAACGAAGTGGTTATGGTTTGTACAACGCAAATTTATTAAGTGCAATTAAGCGTTCCCGCGTTCTGCCATGAAGGGTATGAGTTCGGCTCAGGTGGGATGGGAACGCAGCATAACCTGCTCATCCATTTGCTGCTCCTGCCTCGTGCATGTCGCCCTGCACGCCTTGCTTCGCCCTAAAAAATTCACAGCACGCCACACGGGGAATGGGTTGCAATGCGAGAGAATATCGTGGGAAGGTCCGCGATAGCTATTCCCGCAGGTGGAAGAGATTCTGGGATAGAGATTCAGTGAGGAATTATGCGGAGGGTATACATGTTTCGGGGTGGTGTTCACTTTGATGACTCTGACGTGCGCACACAGCGGCAGGGTGGCTGATGCGCAACGCTGGACGCCAGAAGCGACGACGACGACGACGCAGACGACGCAGACGACGGCGACGACCACACGACGACGACACCGGCGACGACTGTGACTACTTGCGAAGACAACGACGATGACCTTCTCCTCGCTGCACCTGCTGCGTCAACTCGGGTCGCTGTGCTCGTCTCGCCTACGAGAGGCCGTCTGCCTGCTTCTGCTGCTATGCCACGTGTGCTCGGCGTTCGTTTATATCCTCGTCTTCGGGCCGCTGGTACTGCTTCTGTCTGTTCTCCCGTGCCGTCGCCATGGCTACTCGCTCGCGTCGGCCGTGTACGGATGGTGGATGCACGGCCTTGCGTTTTTTGTAGAGAAGGTACGATATGAAAGAATTTCTGAAATTCATGACCAGACCGTTTTCTAGAAAGCCTTGGCCATTGAAGTTGCATGGCGTTCTCTCAAGCACTGGAGATTGTATCCTCTGTCCGGAATTCACGCCCACCATTTCTCATGTCCGTTCTTTCCGGTTGTGTGCGTGCCGTTGACGGTGATGGCGATGGTGGTTGGAATGCGGATACTGACACTGACACTGACACTGATACTGATACTGACACTGACACTGACACTGATACTGATACTGATACTGATACTGACACTGACACTGATACTGATACTGACACTGATACTGATACTGATACTGATGCTGAGGCTGATGGCAATCAAGATTGGAGGAACTGAGCTAGAGCTGTCGTTGGACCATGCCTGCCATCCCTTCCAAGGCGGGGACAGCCGCAGCCAGAATGACAACCAGAGCCACACCAACCGCAGCAGCAACCCCAACGTTAACCGCAACAGCAACGGCAAAGACGGCGGCAAGAGCGGGTACGACGGCAACCTATTCGAGTGTACCAGGGCCCTGGATTCGCTTCACAGGGCGTTCGTCATGTGCAACCACCTGTCGGAGTGCGATTGGCTGTTCATCTGCTGCCTGGCTGCTCGCGTCCAGGTCAGACGTCTGACTCTCTGACCTATGCAGTTCTGTTTTATCCTCTTGCTTTAGTTTCCCTCCCGTTCGAAGCACCTGAGGGGGGTGCGGGGAAGCGAGCAACAATGTGCAGATTCGAGCAGCGTGAAGTGCCACCTATCCTATCCATTCCTTTCACCAAAAGCCCAGAAGCCCTGGTTTCTCTGGTAAATCACCAAATCGGCCTGGGAGGGAGCTGGGAAATTCGGCCCACGGAAATGTTTTGGCTGACTCTTCTTCGCATGTACGGCATGCAGGGAGCGTTGGGGGGCCTTCGCTTTGTGCTCAAGCGCAGCATAGCGCGTGTGCCGCTGGTGGGGTGGGCGCTGCAGATGCTGCACTTTGTGTTCATCGACCGCTGCTGGCGCACGGATGAGGCGGGCATGGGCGCCACGCTGCAGCAGCTGAGGGCGTGTACGGGGCTGCAGGACGGGCAGCGGAAGCAGAGGAGTGGCTTCTGGCTCGCGATCTTCCCTGAAGGCACCGACTTCACGTCAGTTCCCTTGCCTCCCACGTTACCTTTTCCCCATGTCAGCTCTTGCCTTGGGTGTGAGAGTCTGGCAGAGACATTGTGATATGTGAACACTGCAAGAAAGAGCGTCAACACTCGCCTGCCTGCGTGCCTGTGTGCCACTGTTTGCCTTGCAGGGAGCGGAAGAGAGATGCGTGTCAGGAGTTCGCACGGGCGAGGGGCCTCCCAGTGCTGCAGCACGTGCTGCTGCCTCGCACACGTGGGACCTACTTGTGTCTGCACTCGCTGCACTCGGCCTTTGATGCGCGTGAGCCCATGCGTGCCTCCCCTCTTGCCACCATCCACCTGTCTGCTGACTACCTCGCTGTGTTTAACGTCACGCCTGTTGTTCACTCATTGTTGCATTCATGATTATGTGGCAAATAATCGCGTGTTTGGGCCAATCCACCCACCACACACTTCACACATCTTCGCGACTATCTTGCAGTTCACTGTGGTGAGGACACTGAAAATCATATTTTCGCCCCTGGGCAGTGATCGATGTGACAGTTGCATACGACAAGGGGAAAGGCGGCATGCATGACCTGGCCAAGATGGCCATAGGGCGAGGCCCAAGAAGAGTCTTCCTGCACCTCAAGCTCCTCCCTGTGGGCGCACCACTAGCATTGAGCCAGCACGCGTTCAATGAGGCCATGTTTGACATGTACACCCGCAAGAATGCACATCTCTCACATGTGTATGCCAATGGGAGCATGCCCTCTTCCAATCTATGCTCTCTGCGCCCGCCAACCAGCATAGGATTGGGCTCTCTTTCTCTCAGTTTGTTGATGACCATGGCCATCATTGCTTACATCAGCACCAGGGCCTATGTTTGGTTTTTGGCTACTCACGATTAGCAGTGTAGCCTTTTTCAAAACCCTTCTGATCAGTGTGTAAATTTTCGTTACACTGATTTGTGTAACATTGAGTTTAAAAAATATTACCCTAGAGCATCAGTGTAGTTTTTTTGTGTACCCTTATCGCAAATACATATTACTAATCGTTTAGAAATCGGGAAACAACATTTTATTTTTATAGCCATTCAGTCACATGTATGTACGCTCATCCTCGCTACGGTACCATCAGACGACTCCTCTCTTTCCTTTCCTTTTCCAGAGCACGACTTGTGTGGGGCAGGTGTTTTTGCGGGTATTCTTTTTTTTTTGCTTCCGCCAGATATCCACCACCTCGGGCCACTTGTAGTCATAGCTCAACATGTTCAGGTTCAGGGTCATCAGTTCGGATAGCTGGGCGTCGCCAAGCGACGTCCGCAACCAGCTTTTGATCACGTTTTGGCGGCTGAATCCGCGCTCGCACTCCACGGTACTTAGCGGAATCACTGCCAGCGCCTGCCACATGGACGCCAGGTTGGGAAAACTGCACGGCCAATCCTTGGTCCTCAGCATTTTGGCAAGTCCCTGGTAGAAGTCATCGTCCTGGTAGTGGCGAGACATGACGTGGCAGAAGGTGTCAGAATGTTATATTTGTCTAGCCTGCAGTGGGGTACTCAATAGTGAGTACATCCCAATCTAGGGTTTCCTATATGTACTCAACTGCTTGCTAGTGAAAAACCCTCTTCTCTGTTTCATTCATCCCGTTCCTGATTCTAACATGCTATCAGAGCAGGTCGACCCTTCTGGGTCGATCCTGTGCATGGGCCCACCGTTATCTTCCGCTGCTGTCCTGCCTATCGCGCGCCTCGGGCGTGCGCTGTTTCCTGCCTGCCGCGCGCTCATCGCGCGCGGCATTTTTTTCTTCCCGCCGCGCGCCACTAGCGCGCGGCGGTTTTCTGCCCGTCGCGCCACCCTGCAGAGCGCGCGACGCCCTGCCTGCCCGTCATGCGCCCCGTGGCGCGCGACGGTGCCCTGCCCGTCGTGCGCCCCGAGGCGTGCGGCAGTTTCGTCGCCTGTCGCGGCGAACCGGGGGCCCGCGCACCCCCCTCCCCCCCCTTTTCCCGTCGCCTGTCGAGGCGACCTGGGGGGGGCCGCGCGTCACCCCTTCTGTCGCCAGTCACGGCGCCCTGGGGGGCCGCGCGTCGACCCCTCCCGTCTTCGTCGTGGCCCTGCCCTGCCCTGCCCGGCCCTGCTCAGTCGCGGCCCCGCCCCCCGTCTTCGTTGCGGCCCTGCCCTGCTGCCGCCCCTGCTGCGGCCCTGCCTTGTGTTGGGGTTTGGGGGTGGCGAGTATGGGGATGAAGGGTGTGTTCGGCCTCCCCTGCTCCTCCTCCTCCTCCGTCTCCCACTGCTGCAGCTGCCGCTGAGGGGGGTGGGTATGTGGGAGCCGACGGAGTGGTACTAGGGGGTGGAGTGTGAGTAGTGCTAGAGGTGCAGCAGGGGGTGTGTGAAAGGGGGGTGCGACAGTGGGGGAGGTTGAAGGGAGGTAGCCGTTGTGTCGTCAGCAGCGCCAGTAGTCCGGAGGCTACAATCTCTGGTAGCCCAGCGAGCCTGCTGCGCCAGTCGCCCGTGGGTCCGTTGCTCCTGCCGCTCAGAGTTAGCCGCAGAGCCAGTTACTCCAGTAGTCCGGAGGCTACAATCTCCGGTAGCCACAGTGCGCGCCGCTCCTGTTGCCCGTGTATCTGCTGCTTCACCCGTCATCTCCTATCTCATCTCCTCTCACACTCCCTCCCCCTCCTCACTTACCGTCTGTGACTGCCTCTAGCTTTGCTTATATTTGTGAACTATAAACTACTGCTCCTTGTACTTGTGCTCAGATTGTGTGGTGACGTTGTGATCCACCCTGAGCTTGCTTAGCTTTGCTTGTTGTGCTGATCATACCCCACTTTGACTATGGGGGTGTGTCAGAATGTTATATTTGTCAGAGGTCCACTGGTGATCCCCGATTGATCCTAGGGAAGGGTTACAGACTTGTTGTCCTGGGGGGTTATGGGCGCACGGACCCGCTACTTAACAAGCCCTTTTATCCCAATGGTCTAGTGGTTGGGATTCTGACATGTTATCAGAGCGAAGGTCTCGGGTTCGAATTCCAGTGTGTGCACTTCGGGCATCCCAGTGCGGGGGGGTGTCAGAGGTCCACTGGTGATCCCCGATTGATCCTAGGGAAGGGTTACAGGCTCGTTGTCCTGGGGGGTTATGGGCGCACTCACTCGCTACTTAACAAGCCCTTTTATCCCAATAGTCTAGTGGTTGGGATTCTGATAGAAGATGGCCAACTCGAGCTCTGCCGCTCGGTGGTTGAAGCCTGCCACGTATGATGGAGGGACAACATTTTGTGAGTAGAAACAGCAGAAACAAAACAAAACAAAACACGCTCATACGAGACAACATCCACGTGTGGATAATTACCTGGCAGCCGGTTGTTGAAGAGCCGCGCGTTGGCATCCAGCCAACTCAGCACCCGACGCTCCCGCTTGTCTGTCGCTTCCGGCCACGTTTCAACTTTGTAAAGTTTGCTGCCCTCCATTTGCTTCAAGCTCCACATGCGAGTGTGCGTGTTTGTCGCCACCTCCAGTGCGAACGCTTTGCACAACTTGATGCAGTCGGCCATCGAGCCGCCGTATTGGTGTCCTGGAATTGGCGTCTCGCTCAGCACGATCTGATGTGAAGATGGCTCACCATCCGCATCCATGCCGTCCACGCGGATCATTCGCCTGCCGCTGCCAAGGCGTGTGATGAATGGCGACAGCAGCTTGCTGACCCCCCCTCTGAAAATATCCACGTATTCCACGTATCGAAGTCTGATGGCTCCAATCGTGCGATCCATCTCTTGGTGCACGAGCGTGATGTCAACCTGAACCACAGACGGGCAGATGAACGACACGTTTAAATGTTAGTGTAGAATTAAATGACGCGACCAAAAGAAATACATGCAGAGTGAATCAGCACTTACTTTCCTGCGCTGGAAAAACTTGTTGAGTGCGTTGATCTCTGCCAGCAGATCCGCCAAGAAGTAGAGGCAGAAGTGAAACTTCAGGGTATGAACAGTTACCGCCATGTTGTGGTTGTACTCGATGAACACCACGATCGCCGCCCCAAGAATTCTGCACAGACGGGCCACTGCATCCCCGTGCGATAGCCAACGCACGTCGAAGAGCCACTGGTGCTCCGGTTTCGTTTGATGTATTTCGAGCTGGAGCTCCTTGAAGCGCTCAAGCCACACGGAAGATCGCATGATGATTTCGCCAAGCCCACGGATCGCGTCATCGACGATGTCGAGGTCCGTAAACTTCAACGCGGCTTCTTTGACCGCGAGCACTTCTCTGCAAACAACATTAAAAATGCGTAAGGCCGTGGAAGTTACCCCCTTAGATGAGGCGATTGTACGGAAACAAAAAATCTACCTGTGCGCGATGCAATGAGTCCCGACCAGATGTGGGACGCGCTAACGGAGACGAACAACAAGACCGGATTGGCTGCCAATCATCACCCCCCCGCCGTCGGTGCTAACTGCGACAATCCGCTGCAGGTCAATCCCGATGTTGTCGAGGTGGCTTAGCAACACCGCGAAGAGGGATCCCGCGTCGCATTTGTGGATGGTGAGTAGAGCGAGAAATTCCGTCACCACTGCTCGCTCCTTCATGAAGGTTGCAAACACCACGAGGTGTTTGCCGCGCGACCGGTCTGTGCTCTCGTCGCAGCTGATGCCGATCCACGGTGATGCATGGATGTACATAAGCTGCTGTTGTTGCTGATACGTGCACATAGCCTTCACCATCTCCGTGAAGCCGTATCTGCACGGTGCGCAAAAGGGAAGGTGTGAATCCTGTCGGAAACTATACACCAAGACGGCAACAAAGTATTAATACTCACTGCGTGATATAGACACCGTAGGTCTGCTGAGGAATGTCGGAAACGCCTTCCTTCGCGAGGAACTCAACGAGCCTTGGGAACATTGCGATCGGAGCGTCTTCGTCGCACACAAACTGGATGCTGAGTATAAGTCGCGTCACGCGCGCACCCTCGGGGTCAGCCCTCTTGTAGTCGTTGATTTTCTTCTGCGCCGCCAGCTTGTCCAGAAGACCCTTCTGCCGATCAATGCAGTCCTCATGGCAGGTGCTCGCTTGGTGTGCCCGCATCGACGCTGGCTGCAGGTCGCGTCCGCCGCTGCCATTCCGCCCGTATCGTGCATTGTCGGGACCGTGCTCGCTGCACACACTGCACCGCAAACAAGGCAGGCCATCATCACCCTTGTCAAGCAATAACTAATCAAATTGCAGTAGCCATTTGGTGATGTAATTCCTCTGTGCTTCAAGGAACTTTGCTTCCGCGCGTTCAGCCGGAGTCTGCTTCAGCGGTGACGGCGATGGCGTCACAACGGGAGGTGGCGGAGGAGCAGGTTTCACGAGAGGCGAGCCGCCGCCGTAACCAAGAGTAGACTGCGTGTAGCGGCGTTTCTTCAGCGAAACGGATTTAGAAGACTCTGGGACTTCAGAGACGACTTCCGTTGAGTCAACAAAGTCGTGCACGACGAGGTCCGCCTCATCGCGTTCCGGACGCTGCCATCCCGAGTCATCACATTCAGCTTGAGGCTGGTGCGGTGGTGATTTTTGCGCCGCTTTGCGCACAGGGTACCTCCATCCCTCAGTTTCATCAGAAGGCTCGGGAAAAGGACGGGGTGCAGGTTCTGAGACTGGGCCTCGTAAGAAATCAAGGCCCGTTCTTGGACCGTGGCTACAAGAGGGGTCGCCATTGGCATCGTCAGCGTCATCGTCGCTAGGCGCTGCCACGGCTACGGGTTGGAGAACGTGTGGATGCTAGACAGAGTGGAAAAAAAAACAATGGTTTTTGGAGTTGGCTTGAGGAATGGCTGAGTGTTGCGAAACTGCTTGACCCACTCTGCTGAGCTTGCTGAACCAACACGGCAAAGCATCAGGTTGATTCGTTGGGTGACGCGGCTTGCATCTGTGCCACCGGTAGTATGAATCTGGTATGGGATTTGACTAAGTTCAGGCAGCATCAATGTACGTGATGCCAAGATTCCTTTCCTTGGCGTGCAAGATACCGAAAAAAAAAAAAGCGTGACCAATTAGACACATGACTGCTGCCAATGCATATACTGCAGGGAAGGCCGCTTCGGTACTTGCGTGATTGACGGAAATCACGCTCCGACAGATTTCGGGAATGAAAAGGGGGGGGGGAGGGGGGGGGGGGGGGGGGGGGGGGGGGGGGGGTGCCCACCCTTAAGGGTAATCTGGAGAGTCTGCAGAGTAGCAGTGGTCGGAGGAAACTCGGAGGAGTGAGGAGCGGCGC